GGGAGGGAGGGAGGGAGGGAGGGAGGGGACCGAGCGAGCCACACACATACACATACACACATACGAACACGTTCAATCTGATTGATATCGGCTGTCGGTTGTTCATGCGCCTGTGTGTACCGAGTAAGCAAACTCCACCCCCCCACCGACCGCAGGCATCTGACACACACACACACACACACACACAGACAAAAGCAACAAAGCATGTGTAAATGGTGAGTCATTTATTTGCTTGATGAGTTAGTTGCTGGCTGACTTGCATTGCCTGCGTCTATCCGATTATCTGTCTGTCTGTCTGTCTGTAAATATCCGTACATGTGACATATGTATGTGTGTAGGTTTGTGCGTACGTATGTATGTATATACGTGTGTGTCGTGATGTATGTACCTACCGTCTTGTGGTACTCGAAGCACGCATTGGCCATGCCTTGGTTCTGCAGACATACATACATACATATGCAGCAGGCAGGGAACAGTACAGCTCATTCAGCAGCATTTGTGCGTAGGCCGGCTGGCTGGCCGGCTGCCATTCTTACCTCGAACTCGACGAATCCTGACCGATGGATGCATCCACGCAACAACAAGGAAGGAAGCCAGCAGAGCGTGTGAGTGGTGTGTGCACACACACCGTTGTGCTGTCTGTCGGTGCACGTGCGTGTTACCCTCCCTACCCGCTCTCTTGTCCGGCAGCCACAGGGTCTGCCTCACGGCCCCTGGACGCAAGATGAGCACACAAGTACACGCATACATACATACAAGAGGAGAATGAATGAATAATGACGGCGGAAACATACCGCCCTGGATAGCTGTCGTACGTACCGAAATGACGACAGAGCTCGGCGATGCCTTCCTCCCCGCACAACTGGAGGAAGGACAGCAATATTTAAAGATTGTCGGCATTCCTTCCTTGATGTGCAGGCAGGTGCGAGTGTGTGGATAGCGTAGCGAGCGTACGGCGGGTAGGTTGCGGATGTAGAGGACCTTGGTAGGCATGTGGTGTATCCTCCGGTCAGGCGGCAGCCACCCGTGCCTCCCAGTGCTGAGTCCAAACGACTGGGGTGTGGTGCTGTCTGTGGGTGTGGGAGTGGGCATGTCTGCCCATCGGGGGCCCGGACCGCCGCCATGCAGCGGGTGGTGGCTGTACTGGTGGCTACCGTAGTCGGGCGTGTAGTCCACATTGCTGGGCGATACACTCGGGGATACGCCCTGCATCCTATCGATGGATGGACGGGGGAAACGCTCGCTCGCTCAGTCACCTCAATCAACGCCGACTCACAAACGCAAGCGGGGCGCGCACAAGGACGGACAGAACACCTCACGAGGGGCAGGCACTCAATGGGGAGCTGAGATGGCAGCCGAAGCACCCGTCACAACCACCAATGCGATGATAAGACAGCACTTGAGACGTTTCACGCCTGAAATGCCCACAAATCAACAGAATGTCGCCCATGCCGTTACATTAAGCGCATCGGGCCTCTTCGGCTGCTCACCCGTCGTGTCCGTGGCGCTATCGATGGAGTTCCAGTCCCTCAACGCGTACTACATTGCCTGTAATCATGGGGGCGTCACGCATAGTGGATGGAGGCAACCTCCCTATGCGCATGCGTCATTCACGAGTGCGAGAAAAGTACGCATACCTCGCGGTGGGCCTCTTTCGTCCTGTAAATTTTGCGCCTCTTTCGTTGGGGAACGCAGGGCGGGTTTCCAAATGGAGGATGAGTATGAGGACGACTTTGAGGATGACTTTGAGGACGAGGAAGAGGCGGTCCAGCTGCCACCCAAACAGACACAACCACAAGCCGCCCCGCCAGCCCTCCACTCCCTCGCCAGGCCTCCCCACTTGGCAGCCGCATTCACCAGACCGGCAGCAGCCAGCAGATCTCAGGCTCCAGTGGAAGTACAAGCCCCTGTTCAGACCATCAGCAGGCCAAGGACGCCGCCATTCATCATGTAAGAGGCAGCGAAGAAACCAACATTTAGTGTAATGAATGCAGCCCAGCCAGAGGGGAGAGGCTCATCTATCTGGAATCTATCATCTATTTATCTCATCTCATCTAGCTGTCAAGGCAGATAGACGCCATCCGACTATGTATGTATCGCTCGCTGCTGTCATGTATGTGTTGTGTGTCCAGGCCCCTGGCGGAGTCCCCCCTTCCAGCCTTCAGAGGTAGGTTGGTGAATGAGTCAGTGGGTGGGGCAGCATGAGCACTATAGCACGGGCAGTCAGCCAGGAAGGAAGCCAGTCGACGACGTGGAGTTGGCATGCATGTGTGCAGTTACTGCCGTGCCGACGAGCGCCACTGGCACGCACCGGTTGAACGACCTCAAGAAAGCTGGTACCAGCCAGGCAGGCAGGCTGGGGTGGGTGGGTGAGGGAATGGACTAGATTCATCATTGACCGACTGAGGAGAGTGCTTGTTGTTGGTTGTTGTTGTTGTTGTTGTCGTCAGGTGTGTTATCTCGTTGGCAGGTGGAGTCGTTCTCTTCCTACTCCACACTGCCGCAGACTCGCCTGCACCTCCTCAAGACTGGTATGTATGTATGTATGTATGTATCTGAAGAGCTGCGTAGCCTGACGGCAGCCAGATACCAACACACACACGCCAGGCGAAACAAAGATGAGCCCAGCCCATTCACTAACTAACTACGTGCACTGCACTGAGCCGCACTCTACTGTTTTTCTGTCTGTGTGTGTGTCCGGATGCTGCGTGCAGGCAGCGGTCGATACGCTTTCACGCGGTCGGCGCCATGCCAGTTGCGGGAGGATGATCAAGAGGTGGGCAGACACACACGTCCACCAACTGGACATACATACAGCTGAGGGAGAATCAATCGGTGGGAGCTTTGTGGTGAGCGTGTGTGTGTCAGGTTGGTGTTCAGACAGAGCCGTGTGACCGCAGGCACGCATCGTGTCAGTGCCCCGCCCTTGGAGCTGGCGCCGGCGATGCAGGCGACACGCCGATGCTCACCGGCGGACAGACAGTGCCGCCCACAAGGTATGCCGGGGGGTTAGCTAGCGCCATGATAGATCCGCAGACAGATACATAGATACGTACGCAGTCAAGGGTCTTGGTAATGAGACAGGCAGACAGACAACTGCTCTGCTGTTCTTCGCTGCACACCGGACCTTACCTACCTTGCCGTGCTGTCTGTGATTTTGATTGATTCAGGCTCGTGTCGTTTCTGAAGCGGGCACTACCGCTCATGGAGGTATCACTGCAAGACGTCACAGGAAGGGTACGCACGCACACCCTTCTTGCTTCAAATGGACACACCACACCCCTGTAATCGCATCAACGCGCTGCTTCCTCATTCATTGGTCCCTGCTTGCCTCACTCACTCAGGTCAGTTCTCGTGAGGCGGCAGATGTGTCCAAGTCCCCAGCGCCAGGCCCACCGTCGCAACACCCACCAGCTAACAGTAGCGGCCCATCGCGGCGGTACGCCCTGCCGCGTGAGCTGCTGGATGGCCTCTACAAAGCCGCCCCGGGTGCAGCCCCAGGGTCAACCTGGCAACTCGTGCAAGTAGCCCCAGACCACGATGCGGCCACCGGCGGCGGCCACAAGGGGGGCGCATCCTCCACGGCTAACAGGTGTCGTAGGGCACTGGAGTGGGAGCCTCTCACGCACAGAGTCGAGGCCGACACGACTGGAGGCGCTGCACCAGCCACCCCTTCGGCCGACGACACCGTGCCGTTTCGATCTGGTCGCACCCTCTACGCCCTCTTCTCCCCCTCACAAGTTGGGTGGCCGTCCAGCAGCGGGCAGCGGAGGTCTGCGCCAGCACCTCCCTCCAAGGCAGACGGGGGGAATACTGACGCTGCGCGGCGACGACAGGAAATATTCGCCACAGTCAAGGTAAGTCGGTGGGTTGATATGCCTGCATTCACGGACTCACAGATACATACTACACTGCTCAGAGCAATGTGGCCCGGTCCCCTTGCCTTGCATGTGTGTGCATTTCAGACGATCGCTGCCGTGTTTACAATGTGTGACAGTCGACATGCTCGCCAAGAACGGGACTCCTGCATCGATGAGCACCCTACCGGGTCAGTTTAGTTCACCTCACAAGGGAGTCTGTTGGGGGATCGGAAACCTTCTCAATTCACTCACTCATGCGGTGTCTGCGTGTGTGGGGGGTGTGATTTGATGTCTTGCTGGTTTGATGTGTGCAGGTATCTGTACTCGACTGGTCGTGTGGTATGCGTCGCCCATCTGTGTGGCCAGCGTACCAGCGTGCTGGTGGGCGGCACCGACTGTGGGACACTTGTCTGTTGGAACACCAAGGAGATGGGACACAGTGCCACACGTCCAGACGGGGGCGGCAGCAGCTCCAGTTCGCCCGCCTGGACGAGAGAGGAATCCTGGGTGGGCCCCTGCTTCACCACAGGGGACCTGCTCTTCTCGCCGCAGCCCGCCTCCTTCGCCGCAGGTGTCGCCCCCGAAGAGCTAGATTACGTTGGAGGCACTGACACTCTCGCACTTGGCCTTCACCCCTTTCCAATTGTAAGCCAGGGAGCGAGGCGAGAGGGGGAAACGGAGAGAGAGAGAGAGAGAGAGATGGATACGTACCTTGAGAGGGCTGTGCACTCACTGGTGCCGGCTGGCTCTTTGGTGTGTGCCGTGCCGTCACTTGTGTGTCAGGCATCTGTCAGGACCTCTGCATCGGACGCTGGAGACGGTGGGTGGCACCGCACCCATGTATCCCGTCCGCTCTCTCTCTATATGTCTGTCTGTATGTATATGTGCGTCATGTCAGGTGTGTTGTTTGCGGTGGATACGGGTGGTGGCATGACGCAGTGGCGATTGGTGGAGTCGGAGGCTCATGGTGAGGGCAGTGCAGCCACCCGGCTGGTCTTCCTGGGGCACGAACAGGTGCCTTCACCCCCGAACGTCGCACTCAAGAGGAGGCTGGTGGACGACACACTCGACGACCACGGCAACGCGAGTGCAGCTCTCACATGTCAGGCGGGTCAGGGTAAGCACACGTCACGTCACATCACATCACTCTCTCACTCACTCACCACGGGGCGGACAGGACAGCCTAGTGATAGTGTCGATGGATCCCCTGATGCTCTTCCCTCTCTGCCTGTCTGCCTGTCTGCCTGTCTGCCTGTCTGTCTGTCTGTCTGTCAGATGTGGCCAGTGCTTTTGCTGACGTGCAGGACATTGCCATACCGCCGGGGCAAACCAACCGGTAGGCATGCAATCCAGGGAGGGGAGGCATAAAGACAGACGGCGGAGAAAGAGTAGAGTTTCCTTCCTCCGATTGGTTTCCCATTCATTCCTGATGTTTGCAGGTGTGTGGTGTTGGTCCATGGTGAGCTTGTGCAGCTGGACCGCACTTCATCCCTCGCCAAAACCATCGCACCCGCATGGATACACACACCGGCATTCAAACAAGGACACTCGGTCAGACACAGACAGACAGACAGACAGACAGGGAGGGAGGGACCATGCCCTCCCTGAGGGGTCTGAATGCCTGCCTGTGTTTGTTTGTCTGTTTGTTTGTCTGTCTGTCTGTGTGTCTGGGAATGTTCGTTCAGGCCATCTGTAGCGTGTCGTTTCATCCCCGTCATTCATCACTTGTCCTCGCCCTCTCTGCCAGCCAAGAGATCATGTAATGTAGGCCGGACGGCACGGCCGACCCGACAGCCAGCCAGCACCATCCACCATGCATCCATCGTTAACGCAGTGTTGTTGCTATTTATTGTTGTCTCTCCTGCCTGCCTGCCTGCCTCTCTCAGGTTGTTTGATGTGAATTTGGGTGGTGTGCTGTGGCGATCACCATCATTCAGCACACCTCGACCACAGAGGGACGACACCACTCAAGCGGACTCGGGTGCCATCCAATGGTAGGTGGATGACTCACTCACCTGGACAGAAAGGAGTCAGATTGGCTATCGATCTGCGTTGCGTATTCATCATCTCTCCCTCCCTCCCTCCCTCCCTCCATGTGTCGCACAATCCATCCATGCATGTTTATCTGTATGTCTGTATGTCTGTCAGGAGCGATGAGCATCCGGCGGGTTTCTGTGTGCTGTGGGGACAAAGGCTCGATGTCTGGCAGCTGCAACAAGACCAAACGGTCAGCCAGCCAGCCAGCAGGGAAAGGTTTCTATGTTCTGTGTGTGGCATGTGTGTGTGTTGGCATGCAATGCAGCGGCCTGTGGGCAGCATTGACCTGAGGAGTCTTTGTGAGGACCAAGACATGGCACATCTCGCCCATAGGAGGAGCATCCTCACACTCATGTATGTATGTACACACCGGCCGACACGACACGGCTGCCTGACTGACATGACACCTGCGGCTCTGTGTGTGTATGCTGTGCTATGGGTACGCATCTGTGTGTGGGTGGGTGCAGTGGTAGTGCTGGCTTGGTAGGCCTCTCCCACGCCATCCTTCAAATCGACCTGAGGTAAGCCAAGCCTGCTTCTACCTATCCCCTGCTCGCCTGCACACCTGCATGCCGCATGCACCTGGTCAATTATTTGTTTTACTGGCTGCCCGTGTTGCAGGCGCTTCTTGGCCGATGGCCGGGAGCAGCAACCGCAGTGGTTGTACAGACTTCTTGCATGAGAGAACATATATGGCACACCTGCTCGCCGCTCATGTAAATCTCTCTGTAATCGCGATCCACCGCTGAAGTGGGAGGGAGCGTTGCACGAGAGGTTCTGCTCACCGACCGCCGCTCGGTCGGTCGGTCGGTCGGTTATGGGCTCGTAAATTTCCTCTGCGAGCTTGGCAAAAGTGGACCTCAAAGTGCTTTGTCTGTTGTCGTTGTTCCGCGTACAAGAATCAAGCATAGCTGAGCTCCCGACTGGTTGTTCTTCAGCTCCTGACGGTGACCGTGACCCTTTCTGCGTTTGTGAGCAGACTGTGAGTGAGTCCGCCATTGATGCCAAAGGGCGATTCGCCATCTATCGGACCATCAACAGAGCATCCCGTGGGCGAGTCAGGCGAGCTCTCTCCTGGTGCAGCCGCAGAGGGGCTGCCGCCATGCAGACTGTCTTCACCAGCAGTGGAGGGGTGCCTGGCAGGGGGGGGACCACCGCTGAGACCCTACAATTCGCTGTCAGGATCATCGCTCTACTCACTATAGCCGGTGCCTGCAGAGGGACGGACACAAAGGCACACACAGCACACACAGCATCTCGGACAGACAGACAGACCGACAGACGCCCTTTTTTCTCCTGTGTGGTGTGCCCCACCAGGTTTTGTCGTGTACTTGGTATCTGGTTGGGTGGACAGTGTGCCCCCCGCCCCGCCAGGCGTCGCTGCCACCGACAATCTGGCGGCGGCCGGTGTGGGAGTGGGGGAGGTCCACCACAACCAGGGCAGCGGCAGCAAGGCCCTCCCACACAAGTCGCTGCGCCGAGCCGCCATATGCACCATGACCAACCCATGCAAGATACAGGTAGGCAGGCAGGCAGGCAGGCAGGGAACCACAACGGGTGGGTGGTTATCACACCCAAGCCGCCTGTCTGGCTGTCTGGCTGTCTGCTATTGAATCCATCAGTTGATAGCTGATTTGGACGAGTCGTCTCGCGACGAGTCGCAGGGCAAACTCACATTCTTCTCCTACCTACAAAGCGGCTACCTTTATCGGTACGCACCCACGCTGGGAAGCTGACTGCTTTGCCCCATTGGATGGCTCAACCAACATGTGTGTGCTCGTTCGTCCGTCCGTCCGTTCGGTTGTGTGTGTGTGCGGCAGGGTGAGCAATCGTGGCGGTGGGTTCTTCAGTCTGGGAGGGTCGACCGAGAGCACATCGACATCGACGGCAGTCAACGGCAGCAGTGACAAAGGTGCAGATGGCAAGGAGGCATCCAGGCCGCAGGCGGCGCCCACCTATGCTGTGGAGTGGGGCGCCAGTGAGCGGGTGGACGGACACCACAACGAGGCCGGCAGGGGCATGGAACTCTCGGAACTGCTACAATTCGACAAGTGAGTGAGTGAGGACCGACCGGACCGACTTACTTGCCAAGGCGGGCGGAGGGAGGGAGGGAGAACAGCGAACGGGAGGGAGATGGCTGGTGGTGCGGCGTGTGTGTGTGCAGCGTCTTGTACACGTTTGACGACCGCACAGGGATTGTGTACGAGCTGGACACCAAGAAAGGTATGTATATTACCTACCCACCCACCCACCTATCTGATCTGCACACGTAGCGTAGCGACCCGCACACACGGCAAGGCAAGGCAAGCAGCCGGCCGGATACACACATGCAACCCTAAATACGTGTGTGTCTGTGTGTGTGTGTATGTGGGTATGTCAGAGGGTAAGGCGAGCGTGTACCCCCGGCACATCGTGACTGAGGGTGCTGGCGACACCAACAAGGGCATGAAGATTGAGTGGGCCACACAAAAGGACGGCAACCTCTGGATCGGATCCTTCGGCAAAGAATACACCAGTAAGCCAAATACTATATTTACCAAACCACCACACACATGGACAGACAATCAGACAGGACAGGCCAACCAGAGCTAGCAGGCCACCCCCTGCCCTGCCTCTACGTGTGTGTGTGTGCAGATGCCAAGGGTGAGATCGTCAACGAGAACAACATGTGGGTGGTGGCCCTGGGCGCCAACGGCAAGATGCAGAGGTTCAACTGGAAACCCGCATATGACGCTGTCAGAAGGTATTTACGTACGGATGGGATGGCTGTACATGGATGGCTAATCAAGTGTGTCGAGATACATACATACATACCCATCACAGCCCATCCCATCCCATCCCTCGCTCTCTTGCTGGCCTGGCGGCAGAGCTCTGGGCGCACCATATCCTGGGTACTGCATCCACGAGGCAGTCGCATGGAGCGATGACATGCAAAAGTAAGTGCACAGACAGACAGACAGACAGACAAACAAGGGGAGAGGAAGGGAGGGGAGACTGCACTGCGTGTGGGAAAGACAGGCCGTCGTCACGTTGTACGGTACGGTGAGCGTGTGTGTCGGTGGCGTATGTATGTATGTGGTCAGGTGGGTGTTGCTGCCCCGGCGGGTGAGCTCTGACCCCTACGATGATGAACAGGACGAGGTAGCACGACACGAGACACAATGAAGGCAGCCAACGGTGTTGCTGTGGGTGCCTGCCTGTCTAGTACCGTGGCTCGAACAAGTTGGTGTTGGCGTCTGAGGACTTCAGCCAGATAGAGGTGCGGGAGATCGGCGACATCGTACCGGAGAGGGGATACTCTTCATTCGCTTTCATTCCGGGCACCGACGATCAAGTAACCTAATATACACACGCACGCACACGACACCAGACACGGAAACAGCGATGGACATATGTACGGACGTACATACTTGGGTTTAATTGATTGTCTGGTTTGTATGGCTGGGCCGGCTGATGTGGGTGCAATGCATTGCAATGCACTGCAGGTGATCGTAGCCCTGAAGAGTGTCGAGTCAGCCAAGACAAAGACACAGGTACGCACGCACGGTGCACACACAACACACCCTGCCCTGCCTTGCTGGCTTGCTAGGGAGGTAGGTAGGTACCATCCATCCATCCGTGGCTTGACGACTGACTCGCTTGGCTGGCTTCCTGGTGTGGGTGTGATGTGTGTCCTTCTCTTGTCTCTTTGTGTTGCGTGTCCCACATACAGAGCACGTATTTGAGTGTGTTTCACATCAACGGTGACGTCTACCTGCCCGACACCGAGGTGCCCGGCGGATACAAATACGAAGGTCACTCACTCACTGCACACCACACCACACATGCCTGGCCTGCAAATGGCAAACTGACCGATTGATTGATCGTGTGAATGAATTGTATATATGCTATGCGTGTAGGCATTGAGATCATCAGCTGACACGAGCACACAAAGAGACGTGGCTGACTGACTGATGGGAGGCTGGGTGGGTGGGGTGAGTGGGCTGCCTGCCTGCATTCTGTATCGTGGGATACAGACAGACAGGGGTGAGTGAGGGTAATAAATTAATGAGTGGACGGCTGGCTGGCTGGCGGACCGGCTGAGGTTAATCTATCTCATGAGGGAGATGCCTGCCAGTGAGGCCGGGCCAGCGTTGAAAGGAAGGGCCGATAGTGCAGTTAGTTAATGGATCGGTCCGGGGTGGATGGGATGGGGTGGGATGGGCAAATGTATGTATGTATGTGTGGATGATGTACAGCCATGTGTAAGTTAAGGACTGAATGAATGAATGAGTGTCGGTGGGTGGGGCCGTGTGTGTCTGGACCAGCCATTAGTCTTTCGTGTGCAGCTAAGTGGGAAGCGAGAACCAACCAACCAACTTGTGTGTTGGGGTCTGGGTCTGTGTCTTGCGTGCTGTGTCGTGTCTGTGTGTATCTCACTCAAAGAATGAATCAACCTACCTACTTACACTTTGTTGCTCACTGGCCGTGCCCATCCCCGATCCCCTGGCCGGCCTTCAATCCACACGCACTCTCTCACTGTCAGTCTGTCTGTCTGTCTGTACACACACACACGCACCGCATATCATATCAATGATATCTACAATAACCCATCCCTCCCTCCATCCGCCGACACACACTCAGTGTTGCGAGCCCCTCCCTCTAGAGCTACAAGAAGACCACTAACACAGTCACCTGCAGGCACCACACCACAAACAACACGTCGCACACGCGGACACACACATACGTACGGCTGTATGTAATCAGTCACTGTCTGTCTGTCTGTCGGTCTCCCGCAGTCAGTCAGTATACGTTTGTTTGTCCTGTCTTACGTACGTTGTCCGAGGTGCCTCTGACGAGTGCTTCCTCCACCAGCATCCGCGACACTATCTCAGACATCATACGGATGTCCTGACAGGACCGATGGATCCGATCCACCGAGGAGATGGATGAACCGACCATATGCATATGTGTAGTGAGTGTACCAGACGCAACGACCGCTGTTCTTCCTCACTGACTGACTGACTGACCCACCCACCCACCCACCAGGTTGGGCAGGACTTTCTTGAGCTCCTCCAAACCCTCCATCACCTGAACCAACCAACCAACAGTGAGTGCAATCCATGGATGGGATGGATGCCTCGCGGGCTCTGTGTGTGCATATGTCTGTTGCCACTCATCTATCTATCTATCCATCTATCTGCCTACCTACCTACCTATCTGCCTACCAAGTTGCACGCTGTTTGGTCGTCGATCACATCCCATAGCTGACCCGACCCACAATCATACACACACATCATGTATAGGGTGGAGCGAAACAACCCCAGTCCACCCCCTGTGTGTCCCTCCTCTCCCCTCCCCTGCCTGCCTGCCCCTCCCTCGCTGAGTGACTGGCTGACCCCGTCGCAGGCCACGATCATGAACATGTCCCCCTTCACTACCACCTCCGCTGTCACGTCTGCAGCAACCAGCAAACAACCACAGGACAAGACCGCATTCATTAATGCATGGCTCGTTCGTTCTGTGTGAATGGGTTAGTGTGGGTGAGGCCCCCCCCCTGGACCCACCGGGCACGTTTGAGACGAGGCTCTTCTCCCGCTCGGGGGCCTTTAGCTGGTGATCCCCAAACGCACGGCTGATCGCCAGCATGCCTACACCCGACGGATGGACGGACACAAATAGACAACAGATAGAGCCACAGCACCCCGCCCCACACCACCTACCTACCTACCTACCTACCTTGAACTCGTTCGTTGAATACGTATCCGCCGGCCTGTATGACCCGTTTGGCCTCCTCGGGATCCGTGGCCTTGTGGTCACTCATTGAGGTCAGCCGATGCGCCTTGCCGCCACGACTGCACAGTCCACAAATAACACAGGCAGGCCCACCGCGTGTGAATACAGACAGACAGACAGACAGACAGAGAGAACCGGTGTCAATACATGAGTTTCCTTCCTGACTCACTTGAGTACGGCTCTGGCGTCTCCGAGGTGTGCGGTGTAGACCTTGCGGACGCCCTTCTCCTCTTGAACCAAACACACACAGGCCGTCGCACCCGACGACTTGACACCTGCACTGACACCTGCACTTAAGTACCCATCACAATCACACCAATCAATCAGACCGCCGTGCACACCAGTCAGTCAGTCAGTCAGTAGTTAGTTGGCATATGCATACATACATGCAATCAATAATCCCTTTGTTTATCTATCCATTTATCTATTTGTGTGGTGGATGGGCTGGCTGGGTGGTACATAGCATCCAGCTGTGATAGGTGTCCCCTACGTACGCATGTACCCGCGTCCTGCAGCATGTTGTCGTCAGTGGCGATGAATGCACTGATGAGTGCAGCCCTGGGCTCCGCCGCAGGCTTGCGCAGCTCCTCCAGCACCTTGTCGTGCAGGTGGGTCGTCACGAACTCGACTGCCTCACGACCACCGTGGCCGTCATACATACCTGCAGCCACCACGGGACCCACACAGTGAGGGCACACCGCTGTGTTGGCGCTCCTCTCCACTGGCTGCCAACACAAGTGCCCCGGCTGGCTGGCTGGCTGTGTGCCTACCTATCTATCTACCTATCTGCCTCCCTCCCTGCGTACCTATGAATGCAGATTTCTTCCTGCCTCCGAAGCAGTCTACGAAGACCCATCCGTCCTCCATCTCGGCCCGGGTGCCCTGGTCCTCCGCCCACCCCACACATTTGACCGCATCGCACTTGCTCGTATAACCCATGAGTCGAGGCGATAGTTAGTGCACAACACGCTAAGCTAAGCTGCGTTGCATTCATCCATCCCATACACACACACACATGACATGACAGCTGAGGGCCGGTGTGTTCGGCCTCTTTCTTTCTCTAATCCGTATTGCGTGCTGCATACCTGTAATCGTTGATTCCTTCCGATTTCCTCGCGCTCAAAGCTAAGCTCGCAATTGGCGAGCTCGAGAGACGGCCTCCCCGTGACGCAGCTTGTGGATAGTGTCCGTGTGCGCTGTTGGTTGTGTTGATCTGATGTCGGCGGCTTGCAAGGTTGAAAGGCCCCGTCAGGTGTCGAGTGCGGCCGGCGTGCTGTCTTTGCTGGACGAGCAGGAGTACTCGCTCCGCGTGCTGGCCCTGCAGAAGCTCAACTCGGTCGTGGACCAGTTCTGGGCCGAGATCGCCGACTACCTCGCTGACATGTACGTACGCCGACACACTCACACGCATACACGCCGCAGAACAGCACGCAGGACGTCACATCTGTGATTATCTGGGGGGGATTGATGTGTGTGTGTTTGTGTGTGTGAGTGCAGCGAGAGTTTGTATGAGGATCCCAAGTTTGACCATCGAGAACTGGCGGCACTCGTGGCATCAAAGGTACGGACAACAGGGAGGGAGGGAGGGAGGGAGATAGACAAGCAGTCAGTCTGTCAGTCAGTCAGTCAGTCAGTCAGTCAGTCAGCCGAAGCACACACACACCAAAGGTGTGCGTGTGATTGGCCGTGCCCCCCGCAGGTGTATTACCATTTGGAGGAGTATGACGATGCTCTGCGGCTTGCCCTGGGGGCGGGGAATCTGTTCGTCCTCTCAGAAAAGTCACAATACGTCCACACTATCATATGTAAGCCGCCTCCCTTCCTCTCTGTCCCCACGTCACTGTGTGTCAATGTTGTGTGTCTTCTTCACATCAATATATCAAACCCCTTCCTTGATGGGATGGATGCCATGGATGCTTGACTGACTTGATGTTTGTTTGTTTGTATGTTTTATGTCAATGTCGGTCAGCGCGTTGCATCGATGAGTACGTGAGCGAGCGTGTCAAGCACGACGAGGCCAAGGCCAAGGAGGAGGAGGCTGCGGCGCGTCAGGGGGCCCAACACGAGGGCGGGGCTGCACCGATGGATGTGGACCAGCAGCCCCAGGCGGCCCTCAAGCCCATCGACAGCCGCCTGGAGGCCATCGTTGAGCGGATGTTTGACCAGTGTGTGGAGGACCGCGAGTACCGTCAGGCCCTGGGCATCGCACTCGAGGCACGGCGGCTCGACCGGGTCGAGGGCATCATCAAGGCAGCACCCAACACCAGCGACATACTACGGGTGGGTCGGTTGGGGTATATGGGTGGGAACACATACACGTGAGGAGGGAGAGATGGAACAGACATAGATCTGATCTGAATGAATGAAGCAGGGGAGAGGAGAGGTGGGGGTCCCCAGCTGTGTCGTGTCGGACTGAATTATTCGCCTGGTCTGTGTGCGTGACATCTCTGCAGTATTGTCTCCGCCATGCCCAGACCGTCATACTGTCCAAGCGATTCAGAACACACGTAAGAACGTAGAACCAGGCAGGCAGGCAGGCGACGGATGGCTGACCGAGTTGATCCGGATCCATGCTCTGCAGACATTTATTTGTGTTGATCTATCTTTATGTGCACTCACTGCAGGTGTTGGAGTTGCTGGTTCGTGTGTACCGTGAGTTCCCCCCCGTTGAGTTGGAGGGCGAGCTGGCCAACCTCTGCCAGTGCCTCTTCTTCCTCAACGACGTCACTGCTGTGGCCAACATTCTCAAAGATCTCGTCGACAAGCAGGACCAGAAACACACCGCTATGGCATACCAAATCGCATTCGACATCGCCAACAACGGTACGCACCGCACCCCACCCACACCACCACAGCGACACGACCTGCCTGCCTCACTTGGTGGCTACGTATGTGTGTCATGTGGGTGTCTGTATCTATGGCGTGTGTCAGAGGACCAGCAGTTTTTGAAGGATTTGTTGTCCCATCTGCCGGCCCCCAAGGTGCCGGAGCCGCCCCAGCAGGCAGCAGCCGAGCCAGCAGCGCCCGCAGAGGGCGCTGAGGTCGCCCCCGCTGCAGCAGAGACAGGCGCCGGGGAGCCTACGGCAACAACAGCAGCACAGGTCGGACGAAGGGAGGGAGGACGATAGAGACAGACACATAAGACAAGACAAGAAAGGCAGACATGGAAGGTGTGTGTGTGTCTGGTGTGCAGGGCGAGGGTGGTTCGACTGAGGCAGCGGGTGCGGCTGTTACGGCCTCATCAGGGGAGGCCCCTGCTGCAGATCAAACACAGGCCGATGCTGAAGGTAAGCAATGAATTCTACACCCTGACTTATCGACCACACCAAAGGACGCGGTCTTTGCCGTCCCTGCATGGGTGTGTGTGTGTGTGATGTCTATGTAGTGCTGCCGGCCGCGAGTGGTGAGGGCGCGGCGGAGGCCGTCGCAGAGACCACTCAGGAGGAGACACCCGAAGACAAAAAGGTGCATTTTACACTCCACCAATTCCACCAACACATCCATTGGTTTAGTGCGATCGATATGCATGTATCCCACTCGCTGATCTGATTGATTGGCATTGCAACCATTGCTCCCTCACCACCCTGGTGTGTGTATGTATGGATGGATTGTGTGTCATGTGGTGCGGTGCGGTGCGTGTGTGTGTCCAGCTGCGTCTGCTGCGTTACATCTTGGATGGCGATGCGGCCATCGACCTGCACCTGCTCTTTCTCAGCCAAAAGTGCAAGGCGGACCTACAGCTGCTCGAACACATCAAGGTAGGTAATCTATCATCATACACACCACACACAACCACATCCATCACAGACACACAGACACAGGGGCGGACGTGGCTGTGATAGATATATGTGGTGTGTGGGTGGCTTACTGCACTGCACTGCTGCTTTGCTTGTGTGTCAGAATTCGGTGGATCAGCGCAACTCGATATCCCACAACGGCATCGTCATTGCACACAGCATCATGCACGCAGGTCAGGCGCGGTCAGGCAGGCAGGGAGGCAGTCCACCACCCCACACACGCACACACAACCAAGGGCCCCAACCTGTACAGTACCTCATGTGTTTGCGGGCCACTGCCTGCCCTGCCTGTCTACAGGCACAACTGAGGATGAGTTCCTTCGCAAGAACCTCGACTGGCTCGCTAAAGCTGGTACCTACCTCTCTGCATGCCATGCACCGCACCCATACACACATTACACAAAGCCCCCTTCCCTCTATCGAGCGGTGGACGTGTCTGTGGTCTGTGTGTGTGGCTATGCATGGATGGCTCAGTGAGTTGGGCCAAGTTCACGGCGACGGCGTCGTTGGGTGTGATCCACAAGGGCCACTTCAAGAACTCCATGAAGGTCCTCGAGCCATACCTCCCACAAACAGCACGTAAGCTAAGCTGACACACATGTGCGATGCGCACGCCTCCAAAGACACACACACGTACGGTACGTGGCTCGGCTCGCATGCACATGTGTGTTGCGTGTGTGGCTGTGCTGTGGTGTATTGCCATGACTGCAGCCCAGCCCGGTGGTTACTCTGAGGGCGGTGCGTTGTATGCGTTGGGGCTCATCCACGCCAACCACTCCAACCCTACCGTGCGGCAGTACCTCATGCAACAACTCCTGTATGTAACCACAGACACAATCTACACGCAGGCAGTGTGGATGGATGCCCATCCCATGACGGAATGTATCCATGACTGTGGTGTGTGTGTGGGTGCACTGACTGCAGTGCGTCAAGCCAGAACGAGCAGATTCAGCACGGTGCATGTCTAGGGCTGGGCCTCCTCTGTATGGGCTCACACGACGAAGGTATGCATGCGCACACAAACCCACCGCACACACCATACGGGAGGGAGGGAGGGAGGGAGTGAGGCAGGCAGGTCGAGAGGCCGTGATGTGATGTGATCCACACAAACACACTCGTGTTCCCTCCCTTCATCGTTTCTTTGCTCCTTCCTTCCCTTGTGTGTGTGGTGTTTGTTGTAGAGTTGTATGAGAAGTTGAAGGAGGTGTTGTTCACCGACAGCGCCATAGCGGGGGAGGCGGCGGGCTACGCCATGGGACTCGTCATGCTCGGATCTACCTCAGAACACGCCATCAGCGAACTCCTCGCATATGGTCGGTCACCCAACTTTAGCCAACCAGCCAGCCAGCCAGCCACATATATCCATCACACACAGCACAGCCCAGCACCTACGGCCGACTGTGTATGTTATGTGTTGTTTGTTTGTTGGTTCATTCCTTCATTCAGCCCACGACACGCAGCACGAGAAGATCATCCGCGCGTGTGCGCTCTCCCTCGCACTCATCATGTTCAAACGAGAGGAGGAGGTCACCACACCACCAATAAAGAAATATAGCAAGGAACAAAGGAATCAGACAGACAGACAGACAGACGTGGATGGACGGACCATGAGCCAACGAACGAGCCAATGATGTGATGTGTGTGTTGTGTTGTGTGTGTGTGTGTGTGTGTGTGTGTGATGTTAGGCTGAGACGTTGATCCAGCAGCTGATGATGGACAAGGACCCCATCCTGCGATACGGAGCCATGTTCACTATCGCCATGGCCTACTGCGGGTCTTACTCGGTACGCACGCACTTCACTTGATGGATGGACTAAAGTTGATGAACTGACTGGCCATCAAACAAACGACAATATCGGTGTGTGGACATAACATGCGTCCTGTCCTGCACACATGGTGTGGTGTGTGTGTTGTGATCCTGAAGAACACGGCTATCCGTCGTCTGCTGCACGTGTCGGTGTCTGACGTGTCGGACGATGTGCGCCGGGCGGCCGTAATCGCACTCGGATTCATCCTCTGCAACGTACCCGAACAGGTAGGTATGCCATCACACCCATCCGGCCGGCCGGTTTAAAGATACCAACCAAGCACTGTGGACTGAGACCACACTCATATCGAGTCCACGAGTGTGTCTGTGGTGTGTGTGTGGCGTGCCGTGCCGTGCCGTGCCGTGCTTGCTTGACCACGTCCACGTCTGTGTGTTTAGGTTCCTAAGGTGGTGAATTTGTTGTGCCAGAGCTACAACCCCCACGTGCGGTACGCCTCGTGCATCGCTCTGGGCATCGCCTGTGCCGGCACCGCCATGAGTGAGGCCGTCAACCTACTCATACCCATGGCCTCTGACACCACCGACTTCGTCAGACAAGGTCAGTCAGTCAGGCAGGCCACCGGGGGGCCGGGTCGGGTCGGTGAATGAATGGAATGAACGGGCGGCTGGGGTGGGTGGGTGCACAGCGGACGCCCTGTCCAATTCAGCGATTAGTCATTTATTTGCCTCTCCACGTGTGTGTCTGATTTATGTGTATATAATGCGAACAGGTGCCCTCCTGGCGTTGGGTTTGGTGCTGCAGCAGGCCACGGACGCACTCAATGAGAAGGTCAGGTCACTACCCGCCTCAACCAACCACACCACACGACACGAAACACATAAATCACAAAGTCTGTTTGCGGCTGCCTGATCTAGTACTAGCTCATAGCTATGTGTGTGGTGTATGTGTGATGTCTGTCATCTCATATGTCGTCGATCGATCTGGCAGACGAAGGATGTGCGTGAGTTGTTCATCAAGGTGCTGGCGGACAAGCACGAGGATATCATGACGCGATTCGGGGCCATACTCGCATACGGACTCATCGACGCGGGGGTGAGAGGGGGTGGCAGAGAGGACAGACAGACAGGGAGGGAGGGAGGGGCCTCACACACACATACACGCACCGGATCGCTGGGTGTGTGTGTGTGTGTGTATATTTTAGGGTCGCAACGCGGCTGTGTCGTTTTACTCGAAGGCCGGCAGTTTGCGGTCTGAGGCGGCGGTTGGGATGTGTTTGTTTTGCCAGCTGTGGTACTGGTTCCCCCTCATCCACACCGTCGCACTCGCCTTCCAGCCCACAGGACTCATCGGTCAAAGGGACACACACACACTCAACACGACCAACGCCACCTCAGCCAGCACTGCACTGCACTGCATGTGTCTGTCTGTCGTGTGTTCAGGATTGACGACGGATCTGAAGATGCCGTCGAGTTTTGCCGTCAAGAACACCGCCAAACCCGAGATGTTCGCCTACCCCGCACAGTTCCAAGTCAAAAAGGACGACGCACCCACCAAAACTACCACTGCCGTACGCTACGCAACACAGAGACATGCACCACAGACTAGACCCACACAGACCAGACCTTAGATCTAACACACGTGCAATGCAAAGGGCGAAGAAATGTCTCTCTGGTGTCTGTATGTGTGTGTGTGTGTGTGTGTCCCAGGTGTTGTCGACGACGGTCAAGCAGCAGTTGAAGAAGCGTCAGTCGACGATGCATATCGACGACAAGGAGGGCGACTCCCCGACGGCAGCCGCTGCCGCACCACCACCACCGCCCTCAGTCGCCGGTCAGCCAGCCAGCTAGCTAGTCAGCAAACACACTCACCACCGGAGCCAAGACACACAAGACAGCCATACCTCATGTCCGGGTGTGTGTGAGCGTACATCTGTGTGGTTATGTATTCATTCATCAGTGAAGGAGGCTGAGACTGACGAGGGGAGCAAGACGGCGACGGCCCCGGCCCCGCTGAGGGGCGCGGGTCAGCAGGGGGGCGAGGAGGACAGCGCATCCATACTCAGCGACATGCCATCGACAAGGTACGGCACTCACTCACTGCCATCCATCCCTCCGTATTTACGGTCCGATGTATGTGAATATATGTTTCCTCCAGGGGAGCTGACGTTGCCTCCACCGCCGCCACCATTGGAGGTCAGCCACCGTCCCGTCCCGTCCCGTCCCGTCCCGTCCCACCCACCCACCCACCCACCCACAAAAAACAAACACATTTCATTCATCAATCAGTCAAGGAGGAGTGACTGCATGCGTATGTATGTCTCCATCCCATCCGTCGGTCCCATCAGAGTATTTGGAGACGTCGCACACCGAGGTCGAGTCCACGACCTCAATAGACGCAAGGTACGTAAGCTGCACACATGCACACACACACATGAAGCCCCCACACGTACAAAGACACATGTGTGATCTATATGATACAATTGTGTAAGGTCGATGGCGGCCCGTTCTGAGCGCAAGGAGGACGTGACGATGACGCCGGCCGATGCGCCGGCTGCTGCTGCTGCTGCCGCCGGCACGGACGATGAAAAGGACAAAAAGAAAGAGGGCGACGGCGGGGGAGACGATCCCAACAAGGCCGCCGCACCTACAGAAGAGGTAGGCAAACACATCGACAGACGCTGCGACAAGACCCTAAGTGTGGGTGTGTGTGTGTGTGTGATTGTGTAGGAGAAGGATGGTGTGTTGAAGAATCCGTGTCGTGTGCTGCCGCGGCAGGAGGCCTACATCGACATGCTGCCCGACAACAGATACAAGCCCATCATATCCGACAGAAAGTCTGGATTCCTCATACTACTCGACCAAACGTAACAAGCGAAGACGGTGTGGGTGTGTGTGGATGGCCTTGGCATTCTGTGTGTGTGTGCAGCCCCGATGAGCCGGAGGAGTACGTGCAGCCCAAGGCAGCCAAGGGTGAGCTGAAGTGGATGGGCAAGGCAGGCTCACTCCACTCATTGACGGACCAACAAACCAACGACCGTGTGGCCTGCCTGTGCGTATCAATTTGCTTCAGAGGAGGACAAGGAGCCGGAGCCACCAGAAGCATTTGGTGAGAACGCAACGCACACACTCGACAGCCGTCCGTCCATGTGATTCACCTGCTGTACGTATATGTGCCCTTCCGTGTCTGTGTGCGCGTCAGAATGGAGTGGCTGATGGCCGCCTACGTAAGTACCGCCGAGTGCGTGTGGAGAGGGGAGAGAGACTTTTACATACATACACATAGTGCGGTGCGTACATGGTGTGTGGCTCCATGCGTCAACGAGTGCGAGTGCGATTGTGGGTGGATTCGCTGCCAACCTGCCTGCCTGCCTGACGGCCGGCTCGACTGAGTGAATGAGTGCAGGCTGACTGGAAGATCGACTCACTCAGTCAGTCAGTCACTCAACTGTGCATGACTGACCAAGTGACAAGAATGGCTGGCCGCTGCCTTTTCCTGCATCCATTCAATGAAATCTACCTGCTGCAAGATAAGATCCCTCCCTGCTCAAGCTCAGCTCCCATACACACAAATTGGCCAGGGATGTGGGAGTGACGATACATACACACACTAAGTCTGGATGCATGTGTGACGGTGCCGACTGGATTGCCTCATCTAATGCATGCGTCAACTGACACCCACTGATTGCATGTGATTCGACACGCAGGCACACAACACACCGGTCCATACGCACACACACGCACAATCGGGGGCTGTCGGTACAAAACTCGATGAATTCCATCCGTCCATCCGTCCATCCGCTACCCATGTATGCCACCACATATCACCACCGGCGCCAGCACTAGGCCCATCTGATGGGACGAGACAGGCAACAGACGGTTCTCATGTGTTGATTTTCCCGTGCAGCGCTGTGTGCCGCCCTTTCCCTCCCTCCTCGCACCTGCTCGACGGTCGATCCCATCACTGTATGCGGCGCTTCGCGTGCAGCACGTTGCCGGCCATGTAAAGCCGACACGGTCCGCCATTGAGATTGAGGTGGGCGGACTGCGACTGGAGCCGCTGGCGGAATCGGTCGGCAGCGTCGAAGTTTCTGAAGGTCCGTGTGAAGACGACTTCGGTGTTCTTGTGACGCTACACATAGCCAAAGCACAGTCGTCTGTCCACACCATCCCCCTCTGCTGCTCCTTATCGTGTGTTGTGGAATGGCTGGCGGACCTTCAGCTCTGTGGACGAAACGACCAGGTCCATGACGTTCATGTAGAACTCATCAAAATGGGCATCGCCATCCAAGTTGCCTGTCACAGACACAGACGCGCACACACACACGTAATATGTCTGCCACTGTAAGGCGCTCCACCAATGTGACATCTGTGCCTCCCCCTCATCCTTACCACGAATCTTCATACGCACGGTCTCGACACTGGGCATCTCGTCAAGGCGGCGTCACAGGAAGGGGCTCGCCGCAGCGTCAGCCACCTGGCTGCCCGCAGCGTCAGCCACCCGGCTGCCCTGCTTCAGCTCGGCCGCTAGGTCTCCAGCCGACGTCAGCTCGAGGGACACCTTGCCCACGCTCCTCTCGCCCTCCCCCCTGCTGACCCACTCTGACTGCAGCCCCTCCAGGAAGCCCCACACCTTGAACAGCGGCCCGACAGTTGCTGCCGAGATTGTGGTCAGGTTGGGCATGTGCGAGGCCACCTCGATCGCCCGCCTCTTCTTGTCTTCGGTCGCGAGAGCACCGTGTCCGAGAATGAGCTCGTGGGCGGCGGAGAATGTGTCGTCAGTGATGGGTGCGGGGTGGGGCTCGTCGTGCCCGTCGTAGGTGACGGTGGTGGCCGTCTTGGTGAAGTGGGCCAGCACCTTGTGGACGGCGGGTTCTGTGGTACCGGACAGGAGCTCCACCTTGGTCAGTCTGTAGCCGCCACTCCAGTCGATGGTGGGCTCGGACAGGGCCGCTGGCTGTGCCACCGCGTCCCTAAGTGACCACAGAAACACACACCACAGCACCGCTTTACTTTTGCTCTCTGTTTTTGTCGCATCTCGTACTTCTCACCTCAGCTGGACGGCGCGCCTCAGCTTCTCTATTCGATCACCACCGTGAGCGTCAGCAAAGAACCAAACCGGCCAGACGGTGAGTCGGAGGCTGCGAAGCTGCCGACGAACGCCCCTGGCCACGAGCGCCTCACGGAGCTTGTCGGTGTCCTCGGCGCCACCCAACTCGAGGTGGAGGGTGTGGAGGGCACTGAGCGACCTCCCGTCCGGCAGCTCACTCACCGGACTGGCGACCATCGCAGTGCCATTACTAATCAGCACCTCAAGCCTCTCCGAGCAGTCGGCCAGCCATGCCTTGACACCATTGCCGCTGGAGAACAAGCGACAGCTGTGGCTGAATGCCTTGACGTTCGGTGTCCGCCAGTTGCGGCCCACGCGAGCGGCCGCGTACTCGTTGGGGATGTCCTTGACGGTCGTGAGTGCGGGGAGGCGGACGGGGGCGGAGGGGACGGGCGGCAAATCAGATGAGGGCGGAGGGTTGGGGATGTAACTGCTGCGGTCCAGCCCGACGTCCTCGAAGGTCAGCACCTCCAGTGTGCCCTCATCGTCCGACGGCTTGTCACCGCCGTCCACTGCTGCAGCAGCAGCAGCCGCACCATCGCCTCCCTGCTGCCGACTCTTCTCCTTGGCGGCCGCCAGTGCCGCTCGACCGCCCGCATGACCCTCTACGAGACTCACCCAAGTGCCCCGGCACCACTTCCGCGCGTAGTCGAGGCCGCGGGGATAGCGGTGCTTGAGCTGGCGAATGCTTGTGGCCCTCTCGCCCCACTTGTGTGCCACAGGGATGGGCATGGCCTCCCACATGCGCCTCGAGTGGCCGTCCTCGTAGTCGATGCTGATGTGGCTGTAGTTGGCGGCCGACTGGGTGAATAGGGACGTGCCGAGTGCGGGGCGGATCGGGGTCAGCTCCCAGGGCTGCAGGT